GTACTAAGAACTAAGTATTATGACGTTTAGACTATTTTTTTTTCTACCCAATGATCAAGCTTAATGAGAATAAGTGAGAGGAAAAGAGCAGGTCCACTCTCATTCGAAATTCTTAAGAGGTCAGTAACCTTCCCAGAATAGAAAGGACATGTGATTGAACCATAGCCTCTATTCCCTGGTCCACCCTGTGAATCCTAATACCATAGTCACGTCCACTCACACCCTACAGCTGCCGATTTGGGGCAGTGGACTCGAATTCTCCCATGGGCAACCTGCACTTACTTGCTTGGAGCAGGCACTATGAATCACAGGCTGATTGGCAAGGGACAGCAGAGACTCCACCATTTCCAACTCCTGCTGGTAAAAGGTCTGCACTCTGTTCTTCATGAGGAATTCTTTGGCTTTTTCACTCAGCAAACATGTGAGATTGGTAAGGTCCAGGACACCTGGATTTTTGCTGGGGAAAGTTGTAAAAAGCTATGTAGAAAATTATCAACTCTGTTCCTTTCTGGTGTGTTTAAAACAGAAACTTGGCTAGGAAAAGCAACACTATATTGATGCTTTTGTTGACATAAAGGACAACTCATACTATGGACAATGTGTGGTTGCTTAAAAGGATGAGGCAGGACTACAAGAATTAAGATATCAGAAAAAGTCAGGTTGCAGAATAGTATGTAAGATATAATCCCATTTTTGTAAAAAAGCAAATGACAACCCACAAAATATATGGGTAGGTATTCTTGCTTGTGTTTGCACAGAGAAAAATGTCTAAAAGGGTACATACCAACCTAGGGACAGTAGTAACCTCTAGGGCATGGCTCTGAGGCAGGAGACAGGACAACGGAGGAATTTCACTTTTTACTTTATACAGGTCTATAGTTTGGGTTTTGAATATAATTTAAAAATATGTAATATGTACACATTAAAAACAAGTGTACCCTGGCAGGTGTACCTCAGTTGGTTGAGTGTTGTCATGTGCACCAAGAGATCCCCAGTTTGATTTCCAGTCAGGTCACATGCCCAGGTTTAGGGGGCATGCAGGAGGCAGCCGATTACTGTTTCTCTCTCTCATTAATGTTTTTCTCTCTCCCTTCCTCTCACTCTCAAAACAATAAAATCATGTATGTTTTTTAAAAATAGAAGTGTACACAGTGAAAAGTCTCCTTTCTATCCTCCTCCCAATTTCCACCTCCTTGGCAACCACTATTACCGACTCTATCTTTTCCCAGAGTTCTTTGATGCATACATATACTAAAAAATATTCTTACTTCTCCTGTTTTTCTGCCCCCCGCCCCACACACACACCACACCACACCACATACACATACACACACACACACACACACACACACACACACATGAGTAAAACCGGCCCTGGTTGAGAACAACTCAACTCCTTCAAGGACCCTAGTTACATGTGTATTTTCCTCACAACAGCCTTGGAACATCTGCACTGCTTTCACCTTCCCTTTACGGACGAGGACAATGAGGCACATGGAGGCTGAGCAGATGTGCCCAGAGCCTCACATGAGTAAGATGATGGTTTCAGGATTTGAACCCGGGGCCACTCCAGCATCAGGGCTCCCCTGGCACGGCCTTCCCACTGAATTCACATCTTCTGCGGTGACTGGCCATAACTTACCTTAGTGCTTCTTTTTCTAGGACTGGGCTATGGAAAGGCTGGTCATAAACTTTCCTGTAGATACTGGGCAGCTCAAGCATCCTTGCAATTTGAATGTTGCATATTGGATCATCTACTTTATCTAAGAAGCCACGGGGGAAAATATATCACAGAAATTACATCAAGGTCAATTCTTTCCCTTGTCCAAATTGCTGCTAGGATGACAGTAAATGAGGCACACAGAGGGTCTCCTTCCTTGTCAGTGCCCAGGAGTCACAGTCTAGATCAGCCGTGGGCAAACTACATTTGAAATTAATAAAAATAAAAAATAAAAAAAGACCGTACCCTTTTATGTAATGATGTTTACTTTGAATTTATATTAATTCACACAAACACTCCATTCATCCTTTTGTTCCGGCCCTCCGGTCCAGTTTAAGAACCCATTGTGGCCCTCGAGTCAAAAAGTTTGCCCACCCCTGGTCTAGATGCACTAAACAGTTCCCAGTTATCATACAAAAGGGAAGACAATGCCCTAAATGTCACATGCTCGGCCAGGAGTGGACTGGGACTAGGGCGAGCACATTAGGTTATTCGTTCATCTGTTACAATGGTGGACAACAGGGGCCCTCCTAGAGATTCCCAAGCAAACACCAGCCAGAGCAGTGCAGAGGGCATCACGCAGATGATACTGAACTGTCATACATCTGATTAGCTGTTTTCTTTCAAAGTTAATGTGCTTAATGGTACTCAAGAAATTTCCATCATTTTGAAGAATATGAACACTCTGCCCTAAATAGATTCACACTTGGAACTTCAAAGCACGTTAGAAACTACTGTGCTATCCAAATAAATTTTCCAGCTATATATAATAAATCATTTGTTTTCTTTCCCAATTTGTTCATAGTTACCTCTCTTTAAAATAAATTTAAGCCCTAACCGGTTTGGCTCAGTGGATAGAGCATAGGCCTGTGGACTGAAGGGCCCCAGGTTCGATTCCAGTCAAGCGGATGTACCTTGGTTGCGGGCACATCCCCAGTAGGGGGTGTACAGGAGGCAGCTGATCGATGTTTCTAACTCTCTATCCCTCTCTTCCTCTCTGTAAAAATATCAATAAAATATATTTTAAAAAATAAAATAAATTTAAGAAATGCTGCTTTTCCAAAGAAAGCATATTATAAAATGTAATTTCTTCCATTAAATAGTTAATCTTCTTTATTGGTCTGCGGGATCGGGTCTGCGGGAACTATTTAGAAGTTTGACTTTTAGCTAAACAAGTTTACTACTGGACACACCCCCAAAATAACAACCATTTTTGGGAAAAATATCTTTTGCTTACAATGAACAGTGGCATGAATTTCTCGCTCTTCTCTGTACGTGCGGACATAACCTCTGACCCGGATAATGTCCCCAATTTCTATCTTTGTTCTCTGCTCAATGGTCTCTTGCAGCTTCTTAAGCTGGGAGGTTAAGCTCAGTTCTCTTGCACTTGGAGCAGCTGTAGTCGTTAGGGCCAGAAGGAAAGAGAGAAATGTATAACATAACCACTCCACCACATTTGTGAGCTACTTTGGGGGTAACATCAACACAAGACATTTATTTATTCTACTTTGGATTAGTTGCTCCACATAGAAAATCTGCATAACTTTAAAAATCCTCTATTGAATAAAAGGCATTAAGCTGCAATTATTCAAAAGTAGGGTGAAGGGAACAGAGTCTAGAAGCCCTACATCAACAGTGCAAATGGATCTATGTGGTCCTGACCTGAATCCTGTATGGGTTCAATGGGTTTCATGGCAACAGCTCTCAACAACCCTATAAAGTGTCCTTGCAGTGAGACTGAGGTCTGGAGGAAGAGGAAAGGGGGCTCAAGAGTCTGGGTTTGTGGTTCTGTGTAGGAGGGAAGCAAATTCACCATAGGCAGATTTCCTAGGTGCTCAACAGTCTAATCGCTCATCTCTCATCTTTGTAGGGTAACTAGGCTAAAACCTCTCTCTCTTTATCTCTCGCTCTCTCTTTCTCTCTCTCTCTCTCTCTCTCTCTCTCTCTCTCTCTCTCTCACACACACACACACACACACAGAGAGACACACTCATTCTCATACCACTTAAAACTATAAACTTAAACAACAGAGCCCACCTTACACATAGAGTTGTTGTGCATGATCTAAGTTAACCCTTACATATGAGCTTAGTACAATGCCAGATTCATAGGAAGAATTCAATAAATGTCAACTATTTGTGAAAAAAAATTAAGCCCTCTGGACAAAATCATTTTCTTTTTCTTTTGAGGCTCTTCATTGGGATTACTGGGCAGAAAAGTACAAATCAGTTTCTAGTTCATTACATATTATCAGAATGTTTGCCAAAAAAAAATAATAATAATAAATCAAAGTATTTTCTTTCTACAAGGTGTCACCAGCCATGCATGCATGCTTGTGGCTCCCACACTGGCTTCAGTCATTTAGACTTTTAATACTGTAGAAAATAGGTTATCTATATATATATATAAAAGGCTAATATGCAATGTGTCCCCTCGGGAGCTCGACCTGGAGACCAGGACGATTGCTTGCTATGACATGTGCTGACCACCAGGGGGCAGTGCAGAAGAAAGGAAGACCCTGGCCAGCAGCCAGAGGGCCCTGACCAGCCTTGACCACCAGCCAAGTCTAGGAACCTGACCTGTGCACAAATTTCATGCACAGGGCCTCTACTAATTCCATAACCTTTTATTTTGCTTTTAAGTTGCCAGAGAGGCTGTATGTTTTTATATAAGACTAAAGGCCCAGTGCATGAATTCGTGCACCAGTAGGGTCGCTTGGCCTGGTCTGTGGGATCGAGTCAAAACTGGCTCTACAACATCCCCCGAGGGGGTCTCAGATTGCGAGAGGGCACAAGCCAGGCCAAGGGACCCCATCGGTGCACGATCAAGACGGGGAGGGACATGGGAGGTTGGCCAGCCAGGGAGGGATTGTGGGAGGGCTCTAGGGCGTGCCCGACCCATCTCGCTTAGTCCCAATTGGCTGGACCTCAGCAGCAAGCTAACCTACCAGTTGGTGTGTCTGCTCGCTGGTGGTCAGTGCCCAACATAGCAAGTGGTTGAGCGGCCTTAGCATATCATTAGTATATTATCCTTTGGTTGGTCGGACAACCAGACAACCAGACACTTAGCATATTAGGCTTTTATTATATAGGATGATCTATTCTCTGTATTCTTTACGTATAAGCCCTTCATCTCTTTTGAACACTTTGTTAATTTCTGAAAGATTTTTAGGGAAGCTTTGTCAAGTTATACATACTACTTCCACTTTCCCCATTTCATTGTATCCTTTCTCTTTCACTTCATTTTATTACATAAAGGTTTTGGGGGAAATCTTTTAGGCTATCTCTCTTGTCACTGATGATAGCTTTCAGTGCTTTAAAAGGGACTCAGGAGAGCTTAACATATATACCCTGATCTTTAGGATCTTTATTGGAATAAATATACAAGTGTACCTTCTTTGGGTTACTTTATGGAAGCTGCAAGGGAGGGAGGTTACCTCTTCTTTAATATCATTATCTACCTAAACCAACATTTTTAAGTGTTGATTTACTTCCTACTATCGTATTATTATTATTTTTATCGTATTATTTTTGGTTTGTCATATATTAGGGTTCCTACAAAGAACTGAATGTCTCTTTGGGTCTATTAATCAAATACTCTGCTCTTTAACCTATCACAACTTAGATGAACACATCTATTATACCAAGGGAAACTGCAACCTCAGGAGCACAGAGGACTTCATGTATCCAGTAACCAACAGCTAGGAATCTAGACACAATCAGCATTAATGTCACTCAGCTTACTGGGTTTCTTCAGAAAATACCCAAGTATTACTTTTTAAAAGGTTTTCCACCCCCAAGTCCTCTCCTACTTAGGCTGAATTGTAAATGCCTTTATAAATCTCACTGCCATTATTCAGACAGTATAGGTGATAATAAATGCTTCATATCGTACTGTTGAAATGATCTGATTGATGGCTGGTCTGAGAAAAAGGTCCTGAGTTGCTTTCATTTAAAGCAGTGGTTCTCAACCTTCTGGCCCTTTAAATACAGTTCCTTATGTTGTGACCAACCATAAAGTTATTTTCATTGCTACTTCATAACTGCAATGTTGTTACTGTTATGAATCGTAATATAAATATCTGATATGCAGGATGGTCTTAGGCGACCCCTGTGAAAGGGTCATTTGACTGCCAAAGGGTTCACGACCCACAGGTTGAGAACCGCTGATTTAAAGGGTGCATGAAACTACCAAAAGGGGTAAAAAAGAAAAAAAAAGCTCAAGCTGTGTGAATTAATGAATATAATGAGATGGCTAGAGCCTGACAGAATTTCATTTTAAGTGGCCTATTCCATGCTGAAAGATAAGCCCTCTTTAAAATTCTAGTATTAAGGACCCAGCTTTCTTAACTTTCCTCATAAGCTAAGTCCAAATTCTACATTCAATGTGACATTTATAGGAGTTAATATCATATTCTTATACCTCAACTGACTGGAACATGATTTTGACTCAGATTAAAATTTGGTTTAAAAAAAAACAAATCAGTCTTCATTGGCCACTTTCCAGTGTAAAGATTTAAAACTGAGGGCAATTAAACTAAAAGGAGAAAATGGGCTAGTCAGGAACAATTTAAAGATACCACTCCATATATAACATGACGAGAATCATTTTCAGGCTTTTTCCCTGTTCTCTTACCCTCTTTATTTTTATTCTCAAAGCAATTTTCAATTAATTTTCAGTCTGTCCACCCCAATTGTTCATCTATGTATTCATCTAGAGATATTTTTAAAAACCACACTCTCAGTATTAACAGAAATTTTACCTAAAAATTACTAAGTATAAGAGCTATATAATATTCCTGATGATGTCATTTCTTTAAAAAAGAGCTGACTTTGAAAATTAAAACAATGGCTAAAACAGGTCTGCAAACCATGGCCTATGGGCCAATTTCATCCACAACTTGTTTCTATAAATAAAGTTTTATTGGAACAGAGCCATGCTGTTTGTTTCTGTATGGTCTATGGCTATTCTGTGTTATAATGGCAGCGCTGAATAGTTGAGGGGCAGACCATGTGGCCCACAAAGCAGAAAACATTTACCATCTGGCTCTATACAGAAAAAGTGCTGATCCTTGGCATGAAACAAGTATGCATATTCAAACTATATCTTCTGAAGAAAGCACACACACACACACACACACACACACACACACACAAACCCTATACCTTCTAAATGAAGACTGTGACAATACAACAACCATAAATCTTCAAATGATTTTAATACGCTAGACATATGCAAATTCAGATATCTGATTATCTCATAGGTTTATTTCCTGCCTCTGAGATAGCTGCATAAAAAACCTGTTGTCTTTCTTATTTTTTTTTTAATCTACAAAGCTTCCTAAGTTAACTTCCTACAGTGACATTAATTTAGATTTTTCCAAATTAGGAAAGGGGAATACAAAAGTAATGTGAAAATGATGTTCAAATTCTAAATGTAAATGCCAACAAAAAATTAGGCAAAGTAGTATCCATTAGTCAGTATAGTCAATATAGTCAAAGCAGGGGGTTGAGATTCTGACAGGAAATGGCAGAAAGGAAAAAAGAAACCACGCCAAGGGTTACACATTACCATGTATAACACGAGATAGATACTGGATGTTAGATATGACAGCAGGCAATATATACTGAATAACCCCACTGTGCATGGTACCATCCTGTCTATGTCATAAAACAGGACAAACAAGGTCCCACTTTCTGTAGCTTCTCTAGAACCAAAATGATCCCCAACATTGCACCATATTTTTTTAATATTATGAACTTAGCAACTCAAAAAAACACCTATTAAATTACACTCAAGAAATTTTAAATGCTGTTTCAGTTATAGTCTATGTGTTTACTATATAATTTTGAAGTTCTTTTTCCATTTATATTACTTAACGGCTAACTTCAAAGGAATCCTATCTTCTCATTCTCATCAATGTTAGAATTTCTGGTACAGTTGTTGAACATGTAGAGATTTCAGAAAAATTAGGATCTGAACCGGCAGCATAGAAGTTAGTGGCAACCACATAAGAGGAAAAGTCTTCAAAATCTTCTTTGGCCAAGTGGCATGGCCGGAGCAAGGGAATTCTGCCCTGACTGGCAATTAGGCTAAAACATCTTGATTTGGGTAATGACTGGCTTAGTAAAAGTGAAATGCTGAAATTCCTAGTAACCTAGTCCCATTCCTTAGGTTAGGAGGAAGTGAGCACCAAAGTAATGGGAGGAAAAAAAAATCCAAGTGGCTCCACTTTAGTATCAGTTTGCAGAAAAGCCAAAGCTCTCTGCAGTGCAGTGCTTCAAGATAGTCAATGTAATTCATCAGTGGGTAAATGTGAAAATTTAGGCCCTATAGCTGTTCTGATGAGCTGCCTTGAGTATAAATCCACTGGTCAGCTGAAAAGCAAAGGAGTGTGGCAAATGAAATTACCTGAGGAAGACGCGGTATCAGTCAAGTTTTTCCAGCAGATGCAGTTTATAACTCCAGTGCTATCATCCACTGCAAGAGAAGTGTACAAGAGTAGAACAGAGATTTGGGCATTGCCGGTGAATTAGCACATTGTGATTGATCAGGCCATACTAAAAGATGGCCTTTTCCAATTCTCCATCCAGCTTTAGACATAATCTCCCACCCTACACCAGTGGAAACTGCTTGTCCGCAATGTCAAAGTGATACACGGGCCTGGTGGAATGTAGTCAACATTTCACTTACCCTACACCTCAAGGGTACTAATGATTCTTATCTAAGCCTCTCCTAAAGCTGGTGTCCTCGGGAAGTTAAGAGCAAGAAATCTCAATGACTGCTAACACAGAAAGTCAGCCTTGCTCTTCTACCCTGAAACAAGGGAGCGTCACGTGGTCTGTGGTCAGAGGCACTTAGGGTGCAGCCTTTTATCACCATTTGTTCTTCCACTAGCTTGCTGAGTCACCTAGACAAAACATCCCGAGTCTGTGGGCCTGAGCCCAAGAAAAGCCAAGTACATCACAGAAGGGCAAAGTTTTATTTTCATAATAGAAAATGATTATATCTTGGTCACACACACAATACAGGTCTGGCTTATTTTATCCCCAATGCGAAAAAACAACAACAAACCAAATCAAAGAATTCCCATTGCACTTGGATTTATAAATGTAGAGGTAGTTGGAGATGTTTACTATGGGATGACAGGTGTTTTCTCTTTGCCTAATTTCATATATATATTGATTTCAGACAGGGAGAGGGAGAGAGAGTGAAACATCAATGGTGAGAGAGAATCATTGATTGGCTGGCTCCTACACACTTCCTACTGGGGATCAAGCCCACAACCCAGGCATGTGCCCTTGACCAGAAGTGAACCCAGGAACCTTTAGTCTGCGGGCCAGCACTCTATCCACTGCGACAAACCAGCTAGAGTTTTACTTTCTGATAGTGCTTTCTACACATATAATTACTGAGCACTTTAAATATGGCTAGTGAGGCTGAGAAATCCAACTTATCATTTTATTTTATTTTTTATTAATTTCCACTTAAACACACATATATGATGGCGTGGTGGGGGGGGGGGGGCTTCAGCCTGGCCTGCTTACAGTCTGGGAGCCTACAGGGGCGGGAGACAACCTGGCCATGAGGGAAAGGTGACACCCCCATCACACTTCTGCTGCTGCCACTGCCAGCAGCACAAGCCTCAGCTGGTCCTGGTTACCTGAGCCTCAGGCAGCCCTGGGCGGCTGGGGGGCTGAGGGGACTGGGGATCTCTGGAGGCAGGCACATGGAGCAGCAGGGCCTGCCTGGGGGTGGGCCTGGCCTTGCTGTGACTGTTGCCACATCAGGGCTGAGGGGACTGGGTGCTGCCTGGGCTGTGCGCATGGGACCCCTTGCCTTTCACAGGAGGCCTCCACTGTGCCACATGTGGGTGTCCAACCAGCCCATTCTGCTCCCCTTTCTTCTTCCAGTTTCTATGTGCTTTCATCTTTTTAAAAAAATATTATATTTTATTGATTTTTCTACAGAGAGGAAGGGAGAGGAATAGAGAGTCAGAAACATCGATCAGCTGCCTCCTGCACACTCCCCACTGGGGATGTGCCCGCAACCCAGGTACATGCCCTTGACCAGAATCGAACCTGGGACCCTTCAGTCCGCAGGCCAACACTCTATCCACTGAGCCAAACTGGTCAGGACACACAGGCAAAAATTTTTATTGCTGGTTTAAATGTGTGGAAATCTGAAACTGAGAAGAATATTTGTTACAACTAAAATACATTCTAGCCCTGACAGGTTTGGCTCAGTGGATAGAGCGTCGGCCTGCAGACTGAAGGGTCCCAGGTTCGATTCCGGTCAAGGCCATGTACCTTGGTTGCGGGCACATCCCCAGTGGGGGGTGTGCAGGAGGCAGCTGATCGATGTTTCTCTCTCATCTATGTTTCTAACTCTCTATCCCTCTCCCTTCCTCTCTGTAAAAAAATCAATAAAATATATTGAAAAAAATACATTCTAGATGGATTTTATTTTATTAAGTGTAATATAGGTAAACTTAAGATAAGAAAATTTGGGCTTATAGCTGGTAGGGAGAGACTTCTTTAAGCAGACCTGAAAATCAGAACTCATTTTTAAAAGTATGATATCGCCCTACCTGGTTTGGCTCAATGGATAGAGCATCAACCTGCGGACTCAAGGGTCCCAGGTTCGATTCCAGTCAAGGGAAGGTACCTTGGTTGCGGGCACATACCCAGTAGGGAGTGTGCAGGAGGCAGTTGATCTATGTTTCTCTCTCATCAATGTTTCTAACTCTCTCTCTCTCTCTCTCCCTTCCTCTCTGTAAAAAATCAATAAAATATATATTAAAAAAATAAAAATAAAAGTATGATATATTTGTACAACTAAAAACTAATACTGTATAGCAATGTTATAATGATGGGGTTAGTGTCTTAATATATAAAGAGCTCATACAAATGAATGAGGAAAAGACCAAGACCACAAGAGAAAAAGTGGCCAAGAAAAAATATGTCATTCATGAAAGATATAAAAATGGCCAATAAACATATGTCAGCACACTAAACTCACTAGTTACAAGAAAATAAAAGAAGCAAATTTAAATAATTTCCTCAACTACTAAAATGACAAATAGTATTAAAAACACTGATATCCTCATGTGTTTACTGTTAGCGAGACTGCAAATCTGTATCAAGTTTATAAAGAGCAAGCTTGGAAATATGTACCAAATTTTAAAATGTATACAGTGGAGTCTTTGACTTAGCATTTCCTTCCAGTAATTTATCCTCAAGAGGAAAACAGAACAAATACTATAGATATTGTTTACACTACTGAAAGTTGGAAATAAACTAAATGTTTATAAATATGGAATTGACTAAATAAATTACAATGGCATAGTATATGAGAAGTTACAATGAAGATTGCTCATGGCTGTTGAAAGATATTCATGCTTCATTGTAAGACAGAAATTGTATATATAATCTTACTAGAGGCCTAGTGCACGAATTCATGCATGGGTGGGGCCCCTAGGCCTGGCAGGCGATCAAGGCCTATGGGGGGGGGGAAGCTGGCTGGCCAGGGGGAGGGGCCATGGGAGGTTGGCCGGTCAGCCCCCCAATCAGGGCCATCAGGGGGACTGGCTGGCCAGCGGGAGGGACTGGGGAAGGTTGGCCTGCCGGGGGAGGGGCCATGGGAGGTTGGCTGTAGGAGCACACTGACCACCAGGGGGCAGCTCCTGCACTGAGCATCTGCCCCCTGGTGGTCATCATAGCA